CCCATCACATCGCAGTAAACTCCACTGCTGGTGTATAGTCATAAGAAACTAAATCGCTTTTTGATCGACTACTAAGCTGGGAAAACATCAGATAAATATGCCAATGCAATTAATGTTATTGCTGAATAGATCTAATATTTACACACTTGCTTGAGGAAGTATGATGGGGGTAGTTACATTACTATTACTATTTTCCATAACATCTTTGCCCTTCCATAACATTATCTGACATTAAAACAGATAGCACTATAGCTATTTATTGATTAGCAATCTGTCAATGTTGGGATGTAAATTATGGGACAACAAATAGCTTTAAATGGTAGAAAACATAGCAAACATTAGAAAATATTGACAATAAAATAAAAGGTTTAGCCTATTAAAATCAATGACCTATACAGAAATTAAATAAAGCTTTATAATATATATTTAAATTTGGATTGTATTTGCATATTGAATAAAGTTACTATAGTTATTTAGTGAAGAGCAGCAAATGAATCTCTCATTGTGTTTTGTTTGATAACAAGAGGTGTTCATGTGAGAATGCACAGACCTATAATGAAGCATTCGACTACTTTAGTAACTGTTTGTGCTCATTTAAGAGAAAATGAGTTGTGTTTAAAATAAAACACGCAGGACGGAGCAAAAAAAAAAAAAAAAAAAAAAGCACTTTTCCGACGGTCCCTTACTGAGAGCTCCGCTCCGCGCGAGCTCTCCCGGCTAAACGGAGCAGTGGTCATAATGTCGAGCGAAAAAAAAAAAAGAAAAAGACAGCTGTGAAACATAACCAGCTTTGTCTTTTTGTAGGAAACACACTTTAGATCTTTTTAGGGTAAGAGGTTTTTGAGTTATTGCCAACTATCACTGAATGTGTCAGGAATATCGAAAACAAACCCAACTTAACCGCGCTCAATTCTGGCGCCCCCCCCTGGATGTACAGCGCCCTTAGCATTTGCCTATACTGCCTATGCCACGGGCCGGCCCTGTACCAGAAGCTGCAGTATATGCTTTTTTTAAGATCTCAAATTTCTCTCGCGCATCATCTTCTCACATAAATCCACCAGAGGGGGCAATATACAGATCAGCTGATCAGACTACTGACTGACTGACCCACCCGCCCCTTCTCTAAACCTAGTGTTTTCAAAAGCAATCTTTGAGAAAAAGAAGAGTCGCGGCCGCATGATTTCACCACATTTTCAGCCTGTTTTTTTGTTTATTTTTGTTTTACCTGTTTTCTGGAATCGTTCTTCACCAGACTCGAACCCCATCATCATGGTCATCTCAGCTCCACATCCAAAATCCATCAGCATGTGCGGAGAGCTACTGGGCAAACTGGTAACACTGGAAAAGCTGTCATACGGAGGTAAGCGCTCAGTTGGTAGTGCTAAAGGAAAACAAGCTGTCTGCTGCAACATACCACCCCATAGCATTCATTTTAAAGATACCCTATTATGGGGTTTTGAAAATGACCTTCCATGTAGTGTTTAACACAGCTCTGTGAAATAGAAGTGAAATAATGAAGTGAAATATCCAGCTTGAATCTGAGTGTTTAAAACTATTGATTCGTTATAAAAGAGTCGACACATAGTGGTGGAAATGAATCGTCTTGATAATGAGTCTTTAGCCGTTTCGTCGTGATGTCGATATGAATTTGAAGCCCCGCCCAATTGTTGCGCATGCAAACCCGTGAAAATTGAAACCTGCAGCCCCGCCCACAAACAGTAGCAAAGAAAAAGAAGAAGACAAACACTGTAGCAGACGTAAGTTAAATCAACGCTGTGCTCAGCTGGATATTATTGGAAGTCTGAGGGAAAGTTAGTGTTATTTTCTCTACCCAAAGATGAAACTGTGACGAGTCAGTGGTTAAGGTTTATTTTCCTCACTATTATAGCCCAGCCTTGTGCTGTTCGTGTGCTTCTGGAATCTACATGCTTACAACTGGGCATTTGTTGGCCGTTTGTTAAACGAAGGATCAGAACTTTTGATGTAAGGCACTTTGTCAGTACATGGATCAGTGGATTATGGATCAGTTTCTTCCTCCATTTCACAAGTGTGAGTAAGTGCATTACCATAGCTGCGTCCTTGTTTTCTCTAGCTTGCAAATGATGTATTTAATTGTGTTTTGTTACTTGCAACCGCTTGTAATGTACCTGGTTAACTCTTTATATTCTCATATTGCGTCTTAAGCCACGTTGAAAATGTTAAAAACGCGGTAATACGGTATAATATACTGTGAACAAACGGTACAGTATATAAAGTATATTCATTTTCCTTTTATATGATGTATAAATCTTTCCCAGAGATGGGTTGCGGCTGGAAGGGCATCCGCTGTGCAAAAACGTGCTGGATAAATTGGCGGTTCATTCCGCTTTGGCGACCCTGGATTAATAAAGGGAATAAGCCGACAAGAAAATTAATGAATAAATGATGTATAAATCTGTTTCGGGTGGGACGGTGGCTCAGTGGTTAGCCGTCTTACAGTAAGAAGGTTGCTGGTTCGAGTCCCTTCTGGGGCCGGTTGGCATTTCTGTGTGGAGTTTGCATGTTCTCCCTGTGTTGGCGTGGGTTTCCTCCTGGTGCTCCGGTTTCTCCCACAGTCCAAACACATGCAATATAGGTGAATTGGATGAACAGAACTGGCCATAGTGAATGAGTGTGTGTGTGTGAATGAGGGAGTGAATGGGTGTTTTCCAGTACTAGGTTGCGGCTGTAAGGGCAGTCTGCTTTGGCAACCCTGATAAAAAAGGGACTAAGCCTAAGGAAAGTGGATAAATGAATGAATCTCAGTTTCCAAAACTGGACCAATATGACTGGTTTTGTGGTCTATGGTCAGATTTAAAAGCTGATGATGATATCCAGAATAAAATCTTGAATTCACACAGATGATAAGGCAGCAGTGTGTTACTTGAAAAAATATTTATTCAGTATTTAAAACAACACATAAAAAAGCTCAATTGACTTACAAGTTCATGTGCATTTTTGGTGAAGTTCACCATGCCTTTTTGTTAAAAACAATAAATCCATTACAAAATAATTATAAAAACGTGCTTGAATTACTGAGGAAATAGTGAGGCTTAGAAGTGCAGTGGAAAGTGCCTATATGTAATATCTGCAAGAGGTCAGGATGCTTTAGATGACTAGAAAAGCTTGATTGTAGAGTTTTTTTTTTTTTTTTTACTGAATGTGTTCCTTATGTTTATTTAAAGGGGCAGTTCACCATAAACTAGTGTGTATTGGCACTTTGAGAGTAAAAAAACATGTACAGGCAAAGCAGATTTAATACCTGTGACTTCTGATGATGCACTTTTTAAACCAATGTTTTATGAATTGATATTACGAAATGTTTTGCATAAGCTTGTAATTCTTCAAAGTATCATTAGGAGACACAGGCATTCTTTTAGTTTTGTTTTTTTGTTTTTGTTTGTTTGTTGTTTTTTTTCTCTTAAAGGGCTGGTAGCAACTGACTTGCTTTTTATGAATCTCCAAGCAGCACAATTGAAAATAAAATTCGCCTTTAGTCACTAACACACAGTATTGGGTAAGTTTAAAAAAATAATTATTACTAATTACATTATTAAAATATAAACACTTTTCTCTTTACTTTGTGTAAAAGTATTTACATTACTTGACTTAATTCCACTTAAAATCCCTATGAATCTCAATGCATAGGGGATAGAAATTAAACTCTTAATTCATTCGAGTCAAATAGGGCTTTTAAAAATGTTGTACTTAAAAGCAATGACTCCATATGCCATTTATCATCACTTTCTTTCCAAAGTCTATTTGTTGGACAAATCTAACCTTCTGTAGTTGAAAAATCTTTCTTTTTTTTCCTTTTTTGTTGCAAAATATCCCGACAAATATATAAACATTTATAAACAATATATAAACACTCACCGGCCACTTTTTTAGGTACACCTGTCCAACTGCTTGTTAATGCAAATTTCTAATTAGCCAATCACATGGCAGAAACTTAATGCATTTAGGCATGTAGACATGATTAAGACGATCTGCAGCAGTTCAAACTGAGCATCAGAATGGGGAAGAAAGGGGATTTAGGTGACTTTGAAAGTGGCGTGGTTGTTGGTGCCAGACGGGCTGGTTTGAGTATTTCAGAAACTGCTGATCTACTAGCACTTACGCACACACACTCATGCACAGCCATCTCTAGGCTTTACAGAGAATGGTCTGAAAAAGAGAAAATATCCAGTGATTGGCAGTTCTGTGGGCACAAATGCCTTGTTGACGCCAAAGGTCAGAGGAGAATGGCCTAATGGACTGGTTCCAGCTGATAGAAAGGCAACAGTAACTCAAATAACCACTCGTTACAACAGAGGTCTGCAGAAGAGCATCTCTGAACACAAGAACACATCCAAACTTGAGGCGGATGGGCTACAGCAGCAGAAGACCAAACTGGGTGCCACTCTTTTCAGCTAAGAACAGGAAACTGTGGCTACGATTCACACAGGCTCACCAAAATTAGACAATAGAAGATTGGAGAAACGTTGCCTGGTCTGATGAGTCTCGATTTCTGCTGCGACATATGGATGGTAGGGTCAGAATTTGGCATCAGCAACATGAAAGCATGGATCCATCCTGCCTTGTATCAGCGGTTCAGGCTGCTGGTTGTGGTGTAATGGTGTTGGGGATATTTTCTTGGCACACTTTGGGCCCATTAGTACCATTGAGCATCGTGGTAACGCCACAGCCTACCTGAGTATTGTTGCGGACCATGTCCATCCCTTTATGACCCCAATGTACCCATCTTCTGATAGCTACTTCCAGCAGGAAAACGCACAACCTCATAAAGCGTGAATCATCTCAGACTGGTTTCTTGAACATGACAATGAGTTCACTGTACTCAAATGCCCTCCACAGTCACCAGAACTCAATCCAATAGAGCACCTTTGGGATGTGGTGGAATGGGAGATTCGCATCATGGATGTGCAGCCGATGAATCTGCAGCAACTGTGTGATGCTATCATGTCAATATGGACCAAAATCTCTGAGGAGTATTTCCGGTATCTTGTTGAATCTCTGCCACAAAGGATTAAGGCAGTTCTGAAGGCAAAAGTGGGTCCAACACGGTACTAGCAAGGTGTACCTAATAAAGTGGCCGGTGAGTGGATAATTACTCTACTTTTCTGAATTCATACCAGCTATCGTGATTAACTAATTTCTGAAGTTGTCTTGATAAACATCACTATTTTTAGTGGAGAAACAGAATTATTCAGCAAAATTGTGGTATAACAACAAAATAATTCTTCTCTAAATTGATTTATGCAGAACTGTTGAATTTATGTACATTTAAGGCAAGCACATTATGTTACTGTAGTTAAGTTACCCTAAAAATTCCCTTAATCCCTTAAATTTAACTTTTTTTAGCAGAAAAGCCATTTAATTACGGTATCTATTTACTTTTATAGGAAATCGCACTCAACACTGCTTAACAAATCAACAGCACGGTTAACTTTTGAATGAACTGTCCCTTTAAATATTAAACTGCGTAATATATTATATTAGTGCGTGTACATGATGTATTATGAATGATTGGTCTGTTTTTGCAAGCTTTGGTGCATTTTGTCACGACAAAGGATGTCCACAATATATTTAAAAGTATGCTTTCAAACTAAAAAAATCCAATAAATGGGACAGGTGAATTGAAATTCCATTGCTTTTTTTTGTCATAAAAGAGCCTGCATTGTTTGACATGACAGTGGACGGACTGCGCATTCATTTCTACATCTGTTCATTAACCAAAAAAAGGGGGAAAAATCCTGTTTTTCCTCAGCTTCTTTGTTATGCTCGTGCTCAGCCTGAAAGAATAACCACAAAAGACCCTGTCATTTAGTTTAGCCCCATTTCACATCCATATTCCAGCCTATGAGACCTCTGACCTCTGTGCGCTTGTTTTTCGGTGACTAAGAATGGTGAACAATGTGTCTTTTCATTTACAGCTTGCAAGCCATGTGTTGTCATGGTTTGTCATGGATCCACTGCTGTTTTTGAGGGTGCGTGAGTGTGCATGTGTGTCATCCAAAAGTCTTTCGCTCAGGTTATCTGTCCATCTGCTCTTCCTCCTCCTTCTGGACTCCTGGAGTAATAGAAAAGAGAAAGCAACTGAGCCTAAAATATTAAAAGATGTTATCGTTTGTTTATTGGCTCATGATGAGAGCAGAGGGCAGGACGGCACATAAAAAGCAATGTACTGGAGCGTAATGAGGGGCAAGAAGTCTGAACCTTTTCAATTCTAGAGCTTTCAGACAATCACTTCAAATCCCAATACGCTGCTGCTGATATTGCCCTCTGTGTGCTGTTACACCAATACAACAATGGTAACGTCTAGAAGGGATACAGCTGCAGACACATAGCATCAATATAGCATCAATTTTTGTTATTTATTATTTAATATTTTCACATGACTTGTGAGGTGTTGGGGTGGGCTTTAAAAAACTGTTTAATTAATAATTTATTCAATCATTTGAATAAGACTGTATAATTACTGGTACATTACCGTGATGATCGGGTTCTGCATTTTGTGATTTACAAGTGTCTTAAATTGCATTATGGGACGTTGATCTCTGCTCTGTCGACTTTTGATGTTGAAAATTTAAATCCACAGTTTAACAAAGTGATATTTTAGTAGTTTGAAATAATATAATTGATAAGAAATAATACATATAAAGATATAAGTGTTTAAAATAAAATAAAATAAAATGTACTGGCAGTGTAAAACAAGATTTTTGTAGTGTAATGTACAACGCCAACCCAGACAATAAATCACTTTAAACTATTAGAAATATATATAGTTTTTTTTAAAGATAAAAAAAATTAATTAAATTTTCAAAGTTTTAAATGTTGTTGGAAGAAAGATTAAGCTCCCAAAATGCATATCAAAATTATAAATAAATGGGAAAAAATAGAAACATGAATCACACAATATGAAAAAATGCTTATTTACAGATATTTTACAGTGTTGGGGTTGATGTTAATAAAATACAATAAATGGTAAATTTAATAAAGGATGTAAATAATTCTTGTTATCTTTCTATTGCAGCTGTATCCCTTCTAGCAGTAAACCACATAAGCTACAGCACTGATGTATGGGTGCCCTCTGCAGGCGGCATAGAGAATCACATGCTAATGTTTAAAGACTCTGAAGACTATTTAAATAATTATGTTTATATACATGTGACCATGGACAATTCCTAGATTGATAATAAATGAATAAATAAGCTTTACATTGATGTATAGGGGAGAGCTGGGAGGAAAGTAACATATTTCATAAAAACCTATATATATATAATATCAGTCAGAATTATTAGCCCCCTTCAATTTTTTTGCTTCTTTTTTAAATATTTTCCAAATTATGTTTAACAGAGCAAGGAAATTTTTCACAGTATGTCTGATAACATTTTTTCTTCTGGAGAAAGTTTTATTTGTTTTATTTCGGCTAGAATAAAAGCAGTTTTGAATTTTTTACGAACCATTTTAGGGACAAAATATTAGCCTCTTTAAGCTATATTTTTTCTCAATAATCTACAGAACAAACCACTGTTATACAATAACTTGCCTAATTCCCCTAACCTGCCTAGGTAACCTAATTAACCTAGTTGAGCCTTTAAATGTCACTTTAAGCTGTATAGAAGTGTCTTAAAAAATATCTTGTAAAATATTATCTGCAGTCATCATGGTAAAGTTCAAATAAATCAGTTATTAGAGATGAGTTATTAAAATTATTATGTTTAGAAATGTGTTGAAAAAATCTGCTCTCCCTTAAACAGAAATTGGGGAAAAAATAAACAAGCGGTCTAATAATTTAGGGGGGCTAATAATTCTGACTTCAACTGTATGTATATATATATACTGGAAGGGCATCCAGTGTGTAAAACATATGCTGGATAAGTTGGCGGTTCATTCCGCTGTGGTGACCTCTGATGAATCAAGGAACTAAGTTGAGGGAAAATGAATGAATATATAAATATTGCTACCTTTTTATATCAGTTTGAAGGCGAAAAGCCTGCAATAAAAAAAAAATTCTTCACAATTTTAAGGGGTGAAATGTCTGAATTTCAACATAAACAGATTATTTAAAAAATCATAAATTTAGAACACAAGAATTCTGCTTTTTTTCTCCATTAAAAAACTATAATCTCAGGATTAGCATTAGTTGAACAGTTTTAAAGGGAATAAAGTCATAATTGTGATCACAAATTTAGAAGAAAGATTTCTTTTGCTTTTCTGAAGAGTAAAAAAGTAGAGTTGCTGTAGAAATGTGTAATTCATACCTTTTTATCATTTAAAGGGGATTGTCTTCACATTATAAACCTGAAGTTCTTGACTTTTAATTTGGATTCAGGTATTTTACTCACCTGTCCAGATTGTATGACGGGATCCTGTAGTACTCACTGGGTCTGCTATAACAGTCTGAGCAGATGATGAACCATTACAACCAAAGTAAGAAGGAGACATGCGGGTGATGATCGAGATGCCTGAAATTATAATGAAAAAAGGCATTGTGTCAGTGCACTGCTGAATCAGGCCTTCAACAGCCCTGTAGTATAATACTAAATTATCTTGTGCTTTTGTGTGTTTAAAGTAAATGTACAGTATATATTACAGTATATACAGTGTATGTGGAGCAGTATGACAGAGGGTTTTTCCATTGTGGTCTTAAAGCGGATGTTGCAAATGTATCTCATTTATTTTTACACAGGAGTTCAGAAGATGCTGTAAACTTATTAGGTTGTTTAATTAAATGTGCATGTGTATATAGGTTCACTATTGCACTGCTGGGAGCGTCTCCCCCTCCGCATTTCCTCTATTTGCAGATGCTTTCCTTTAATGCAGAGCAGAGCTATTGTTTAACTTCCCAACACAAGAGGATAAGAAGCAGATGGAGCGCTGATCTTAAAATAATCAGGACACCTGTTTACATTCATGTTCACTCCTATAGTTTGATGAGTCAGCAGGTCCGTAGTGCCTCGAGAGCAGTGGCGTAAAGTAGTGAAATACGCAAACTATTGTATTCAGTACTTTTTTTCTTAGGAATTGTACTTTAGTAAATAGTTTTAACATGTTTTATACGTTTTTTGTTTAATATCAGGGTGGCACGGTGGCTCAGTGGTTAACACTGTTGCTGGTTTGAGTCCCAGCTGGGCATTCCTGCGTGGAGTTTGCATGTTCTTGCAGTGTTGGAGTTTCCTTCGGGTGCTCTGGTTCCCGCCACAGTGCACAGACATGCGCTATAGGAGAATTAAAAACTAAATTGGCTGTAGTGCGCATGTGTGTGTGTGTGTGTGTGTGAGAATGCAAGAGTGTTTGGGAGTTTCCCAGTACTGGGTTGCAGCTGGAAGGGTATCCACTGCATAAAACATATGCTGAAATAGTTGGCGGTTCATTCTGCTGTGGCAACCTCTAATAAATAAGGGACAAAGCTGAGGGAAAATGAATGAATAGCTCTGTATCAGTACTTTTTCTCCACTATTTTCCTTCAGCCTTCAATCCCTACTTTATTTTATTTTGTCTTCATTGATTGGCTGAGTAAAATAATCAGTTCTGTGACTCAGATTGCGCATAGAAAAATCACATTGGACCAGTGTTGCTAGATTGGGTGAGTTTGAATTGTATTGTGTAGGTAAAAAATATATATCTTTGACCAAATTTGGGCGGTTTTAAAACAAATTTTGCTCCTACTACATTTAGTTAGTAGTGACGCCAACATCTGTGTTTGTTGATGCCTTTGTCCCAATAAGACGTTCAGCTGAGTTCTTCAGCCTCCTGTTCTGCATCTAATTGTTGGCCTGACACATTTAGCAAATTCTTGTCTGTCTCTTGTTCTCATACTTATTATCAGAGTCAAAAAATCGTTAAATAATATTAATTAATTAATTAATAATTCATAATAGTGTGAATAAAATAATAAATCAATAAAATAATAGCTAGATATAATTTTAAGGTAAAGCATTTATAAACTATTTAAAATTCATCTTTAAACAATTTAAATCTACAATATCCAATAGGTAGTGTGATCTACACAACTATAAATGCAGTGTGTGGGTGGGAGGGGTGCAGTGTTTTGATGTGGTCTGGTTTACTATTGTGTAATTTCAATATATTGTGGTTCTGTGACTGTTGGTGTTGGTTGCTGTGTGGTTCATAAATTCATTCATTTTCTTCCTGGGTTTCCTCCACAAGTCCAAAGACATACCCTATAGGTGAATTGGGTAAGCTAAATGTGTGTGAATGAGAGCGTATGGGTGTTTCCCAGTACTGGGTTGCAGCTGGAAGGGCATCCGCTGTGTAAAAAATATGCTGGATAAGATGATGGTTCAACCCCTGATTAATAAAGGCACTAAGCTGAAAAGAAAATGAATGAATGAATGAATGAATGAATGAATGAATGAATGAATGAATGAATGAATATTTTGGATGATATTTGTGCATTTGGGCGAGTTTTAAATAGCTTTTGGGCTGGAAAAAATCGGCTATATCTGCCAACACTGCATCCAACAGACTGACCTCAAGACACAGAAGCTTTATAAATCCACATGTACAGCATAGAAGCATTACAAAGTGTCCAAGAAGATGCTAAATCATTACGCGCAATGCCCACATGCACTACAGAATGTTACGTTTTCAAAACAAATTGTATGTATTCTATTTGAGCTGCATGAAGTTGGTTTTTGGCGCCACCTGCTGGACGCCAACCTGATTTCACCAAATAGGACATGTTCCTGGATTAACCTCTATGTTGATAATGGAACAAGATTCCAATCAGCCAATCAGAATTAAAGGATAAATTTACAGTTTATGTTATGTTTAGGCTTATAGTTTTATATTTATGGTTTATGCACTTCTACATTATTGTTATTCAACTATTATTTCTCTCTGATTTTGGGAATAATAATTTACAGTTATGTTATGGTTCTCCCCCTGTTTGCGTGGGTTTCCTCCAGGTGCTCCGGTTTCCCCCACAGTCTAAAGACATGTGGTACAGGCAAATTGGATAAACTAAATTGGCCATTGTGTGTGTGTGTGTGTGTGTGTGTGTGTTGATGGTTCATTCCACTGTAGCGACCCCTGATTAATACAGAGACTAAGCCAAAAAGAAAATGAATGAATGAAGGAATGATTAAATGAGTTATGGTTGGGTTTAGGGGTTGGGAATGGGTTATGGATTACATTTTTGAACACAAATAATGTTTCAGGATCAACACAGATGTTAATCCAGGATCGCATCGTACTTGGTAAAATCATGATATGCCCTGCTGGACACTAACAGCTTCATGTCAGCAGTCAAAATGCATAACCCTAGCATTAACATATGATCACAGATACGTGCACAGCATCAACCTTTCACAGCATTATACTAGCTACTCACAGCCTTTAAGTATTTTATAAAAGTAGCACTGTCGCCTTACAGCAAGAAAGGTCACTGGTTCGAGCCTTGGCTGGGTCAGTTGACATTTCTGTGTGGAGTTTGCATGTTCTCCCGTGTTGGTGTGGGTTTCTTCCGGATGCTCCGGTTTCCACAGTCCAAACACATGGGCTATAGATGTATTGGGTAAGCTAAATTGCCCGGAGTGTATTTGTGTGAATACGAGTTTATGGGTGATTCCCAGTGATGGGTTGCAGCTGGAAGGGCATCTGCTTCATAAAACATGTGCTGGATAAGTTGGCGACCCCTGGTTAATAAAGGGACTAAGCCAAAAAGAAAATGAATGAATGAACAGATACTTTTACACTACTTGCACTACAATTTGTTGGCAAGTAATGGTACTTTTAGTTGAGCATGGTTTTTCAGTACTCCTTCCACCACTGCTTGTGAGACTAATAAAATAGAGACATTTCACCTAGCGGAGTTTTATTGCACTCATTGAACGTAAATATCACTCCCTGGTGATATTTTCTCAGCATTTCATATAGAGAGAGCTATTTGATTTCTAATGACCATATGTGTTTTATGAATACTGTAGTTATGAAATCATCCAGACATTTGAAAAGTTCAGCAGCTCTGGGTTTCACAATGTTTGTTTCTTTTTCTGGGGTGTACGAACAGGTCAGTGACATATTTCTCCCCTTTTTTCACAGATGATAGCTGTTTTGTATTATTAAGCGGGTTTGTTTGTCATTTTGGAAAGGCAGGGTTTAAGATGCTGAACATCTGACCTGCTTTTCGGATCAGTGTGGAGGAGTTTTGTCCGCCCACATAAATGATAAAGTAAAACAGCCTCGTTTCACAATCCCACCTCAGACACAAGGCCTTTATGTGGCAGGAGAGATGAACCACATTACTCAAGACTTCATAATGTATCGGCTGCGAGTGTTTTTGTCTATTCAGCATGTTCTGATGCATCTGAAATGGTTTGAGAAATACCTGACTCTCAAACATGACTGGGGGTTCGGTGGGCTTTTCTTGATGCACCCGTCCATCTGTTTCTGATTCTGTAAAGCTTGTTTCTCCTTCAGTGTACAGCTCTTCTCCCTTTAAAAACTTCTCTAGATCTTCACTGCTAACATTGCCTGATCAAGAGATACAGCAGATTATAAAAAAGAGCAGTGGTTATGTTTCATGCCAGTACATAATTACATACATTACTGTTTAAATGTTTGGTGATTCAAAGCTGAATTTTCAGCATCATTTATTCCAGTTTTCAGTCTTGCATGTTTCTTTGGAAATTATTGTAATGTGCTGATTTTATGCCAAAAAATGTTTCTTATTATCATCAATGCTGAAAACATTTGTGCAGTTTTGTGAAAACTGAGAAACACTTTGATGAATAGAAAGTTCAAATGAACGTAATTTGAAACATTTGTGATATTATAAATGCTGTTTTTGATCCAGTTACTTCATCCTTTATGAATTTAAGTTTTGTTTTTCTTTCAAAAATAGAGCTGATAAAATCTTACCAACCCTAAACTTTGAGCCATACATTAGGCTTTCTAGTTTTCACGTTCTCCTTTCACTCATTTCTATGAACTATTTGAAATGATGACACGATCTATTAAAGATATTCATAATATGTAAATTATTATACATCTAAAAAGCAAAGTAAACTGTAAACCTGTACACTGTAAAACCCAACAGTCAACTTTATTTAATAAATTGAGTGTAGTGAACTCAAAATTGACTAAAAGTTAATTCCACTCATTTAAAAAGAGTTTTGAACTAAAGTTATTGAAGGTAATGAGTTAATTAAATACCTTTTTACTGAACTTAAATGGAGTAAGTTCACAGTACTCATATAGATTAGATTTTCAACTCAAATGGTTTGTAGCAGTCAGACAGTTTGAGTTGTCTTATTGTGTTTAACAGTACTCAGTTGGTTTGAGCTCTCTTTACTAATTGGGTTTTACTGTGCTTAAATTGCTTCATTTACTCAAATGGATTAAGTTCACAGTACTCATTCGGATTAGTTTTTGAACTTTAATAGTTTGTTGCAGTCAGTTTCCTCAAATGGTTTGAGTTACCTTAACATTTGGGTTTGACAGGGTATGACTTGTTTTATGACACTGTTGGTTTAAAATGCATTCATTAGCCCTTATGAAAATTAACCACAGTTTTACTACATCTAAAATATACCATGTTTTTGGCTTAGAATGACAAAGATTAACTTATTTGACTTGTTTACTTCATAGTTACCATGGTTTACCTACAAAAAACATGTATTTTGTGTAGTAATAATGTGTAGTAAAGCATTATAAATTTGGCTAATTTTGAGATAAACAACATTTGGAATATAACAAAAACAATTTACTCCTTTGTTTAACAGTGCATGTGTGAAATAGAGTTTTTAAATGAATGCAAAGACTTTTAGGTGTAGAAAAGAGTATTTTAATCCCTCATAACTTTTGAAAAGACAAATTTCAAACTATTTGGATGAGGATGAATCTTTCGCGTTCATTCCTGCTATCAAATTGAGTATACTTTGCAGTAAATTTTAGGCTTAAGCATTCTTTTGAGTCATTAATCCTACATCATGAAGATAATAAATCATGCTCAGGTTGTGGTCGGGTAACCCATACACCCTTAATCTGATTGTTTAGATAACCACACAATTAACATTTCGCCAGTAACTTACTGTAAATCAATAGCAGCAACAATACTATATTTACATTTACAGCACCATTTATCTTGCTGTATGTGTATTTACAGAACTGTATGTATATCTTTAAAATATACAGTAATTTTCACAATGCAACGTTAAAATATAGTTATAACTAGAGCCAGACGGAATTTTTTGCTATTTCTGCAGAGAACTTTGGTAAAAATCTGCGGATTTCTGCGGAATTATTTTGGGAGTATCCTGCGGGGTATCATAACTTAAACCTTAACAAAATAAATAAAAAGTAATACATTACTGAATAAAAACTGAATAAATTCAGATTTACACATTTACTCAAGTAAATAAACAGAATTAATAATGGGCTAAAAATCTGCAGAAATCTGCAGAATTCTGCAGAAAATCTGCGGAATTTTGCGCGCAGATTCCGTGTGGGCCTAGTTATAACATACGGCATAAGTGTCCTACAGTAAAATACAGTTCATATTACAGTTAAAAACTGTGTAATTTACAAAATCGTTAACAGTGTAGGGGACCAATGACCTATGACAGTTCGTCCAAGAGCACTTTGCCCTCAGTGGGCTCCCCGCTGCCATTTAAAGTGCGTTCCACTTTGTCAAGTAAATGAGGGATGTTTACACCCTTGATGTCTCTATTTTGACCAAGGGAGTGAAACTCATATGTCCACCCCAGTACCTATTTGTCCCAAAAAAGTGTTCAAGGATTTAGGGCATTCCATTTAAACCCATTCATATGTTCTGCCAATAGTGGACACTTGCATAACATAATCAGTGACATCTGAGTTTTTGAGACGGAGGGAAGTTAGCAAGCATGAGAAATTGGACTGGAATGCAGCATAGCTTCTCTAACTCTGCTGTTTTATTTAATCTGACATTGACTCTATACGTTGAAATACTTTCATATACATTTATAAAGCTGAAACAAACCTCATGCTACATGTGAAAAGTGTGTTATGTAATGATGATAAAACTAAAACTTACTAAAGAAGCTGTACTCAAATGTTGTATTGTAGTCAAACTCTGGAGTATCAGTGAATTCATATTCATATTCGTGATCCGGCTCTACTCCTGTGAAGACAAAATAGATTAAATATAGTTATTATTTGTGGAAAAATCTTTTTTGGGGTTAAGGCCCTTTTTATCACCACATCTGGTGTTATGATTTGTTTTAGGTGCAGTGCCATATTTCAGCTCTATTTTAATGACACTTTTTTGATGCTATTTCTCTTTTACTTATGAATTACAAAAGACTATCGCTCTCGCTCGTATCTTTTTGAATGGGAAAAGTGTTATGGTCAATATGCTGAATAAAGCCCGCCTACAAATTCAGGAGCCAATCATCGATTGCTATTTTTTAAATGAAGCCTGCCTTCTAGCAAAGAGCTTAGAATGACCAAGAGGCGACACTCTAGTGTAATTTGGGAAACAGCCACTAGAGGGCTTGGCGGCCATTTGGGAATGAACACTCCAATAGAACAACAGCATATTAAAAGTCTGTAAAATAAACTATTAAAAGTGCTGATGATTGTGATAATAAGTGTTGTATTGTCATCTTTTAGCTTGTATCTCAGCTTTAATGCGCTTTTTAAATAAATAACAAAAAAACAAAGCAGCTGCTTGCCATCGCAACAGTAATGAGATCCGATGGACGGCCGATCACTTTCACTCAAAAATGGCAAAATTCAGGGCTGTTGCTGGGCGCTGCTGTTGCAATGGAACATTCTATTGGGTCTCTTTGCTTCTAGTACAGGAGCCAATCATCGATCGATATAGATGAACGATTTTATAGGGGAGGAGCTCGGTCCAGGCATGAGTTTCTGCAGATTTTGAGTGATTTGGACTTTTAGAAATAAAACTAAAGAAACAGTTATTGTTTAATTTCATTGGTGATTTCTAATATGAAATTCAGTCGTCAGCTTGGCAAGCAATTTTTAAGAGATGTTCCCACATTTAAACAGAATGCCTGGGCATATTTTAAAAGATGGCCGCAGAGTGAAATTACTTGCATTAAAGGGACTTTTGGTACTATTAATCCTTTTCTGTCAATTAAATATAGCTTCATCAGTGTTGGCCGATCATTTTAGGTTTGTTTTTTTTAAACCGAACTACCACCCAATTACATTTCCATATAGATCAAGTGAAGGCGAGCTTAAGACATCCGTCATCATACTTGCTTCCCAGAGTATTGAGGAGCTTAACTCAGAAGCTCACAAAATTTACAGTAATTACTGCAAGATAAAAACATCAACGGACATTAGAAGGTAAGTTGAAATAAACAGCACGACTTCCTGCAATGAGCCACGCATCAAAAAAATCACTAGATCAGTGTTTTGAGCCCCGAACAACTTACTTATTATTACTTATTTTACTGAAAATATCTTGCTAGCGTTATGTCACGTAGGCTAGGTTAACCGTTACGTCAGAAAAGCCATTGGAGATCCACTGATAGTTGGATAAGGGACATTACGTTACCTGAAACATACATTATCTGTCTCTGAAAATAAAACGTAAATACTCAGAGTCAGACTCAACTTCATTATTCTGTTTAGGGAAACTAAAATTGCAGCAAGATGCCATAACACAGGTGAAATTCCATGTACACATTAATAAAATATTACCACACAACACAACATACTATGCATCATTATGTAGGTGCATCTCTCTCCCCGCTGGACTCATTTAATGGCTTAATGGCCACCATTATAAAATAATTATTAGTTCTATTTGTCCTGCAAATAGGAACTCTAAATCAACGTCCTGTGGGCAGCAGCTGAAACACAGAGTATAATGGGTAATCCGGGGTGCATAGGATACCCTGAACTCTCTTCAAAACATAGTCATGGTAAATCACCATTGGACCAATTTGGTTAAAACCGATGATCTTGCCTGCCACCTTCATCAGGCTACTAAACCTGTTCTTACTTGACACACTCAGACTACTGTACCAAGCTACAATGCAGAAAGATAAAACAGATTCAATAAATTGTTTATAAAACAGTGTCATCATAGAGGTACGAACCTGAAACAATCTAGGTTTCCTCAGAAAAAAACTGTCTTTGTTGAACTTTTTTACTGACAGCCTGGGTGTTAGATTGAAATGTCAACTTAATGTCAATAGCGACCCCTTGTTATTTATGTGTGTTAACAATTTCAATGTCCAAGTCTTCAGTATTTGTTATGCTGGGGGTAGGAGAAGCCTTCCTGTAATCTATCACCATGTCTTCTGTTTTACTTTGCATTTATACTCAGTAAATTCTTCCACAACAGGACCATGTCCCAAATCCTGATCGTGGAGGTGACTCACAATCACCGAATCATCTGCATGTTTAATGATAGGACAATTCCTGTACACACTCTGACAATCGTTAGTATACATGATTAATGATAGTGAATGAAAACTATTTCTTCCTAAAATGGACTGATGATTGACTTTTTTGAAAATAAAATGAATGGATGAATAAATATTGAGAAATAAGCTTATGAAATGTACATATGAACACCAATGGAGACATCGGAATAGGGAAAAAAGAGCAACAGCTTTCATTTCTGCTCTGATTATAGCCATATAACTACACAGCATGCTTAGGGTTTGTATTAAAATCTGGACTGAAAGATGACATTGTGCTCTTTTCCTTTTCTCGTCTTCATAACATTCAAGAATATGGTTGCTTGAATTCTGTGAAAGCTAATCCAATGAGCACCTTTGGACAAAGTTAAAACTTTAGAGGACTATTATTACAGTTTTATTTGTGTTGTTATCAGATTGACAAAAACTCAACTTTATACCAGGAGTCAGACAGCGGCTGTCACAGCATGCTAGCCTCAGGCCCCGTTTACACTAATGCGTTTTAGTTTGAAAACGCATAAGTTTTGCTACGGTTACGCCAACCGTCCACACTACGCCGGAGTTCTCGAGCGCCGAAAACGGAGCGTTTCGAAAACGCTGGAGAGGCCGTTTTCATTTTGAAACGCTGCTGCTCCGTCTCAGTGTGGATGATGGAAAACGGAGACATCTGAAAACGGAGGCGGGGCTGCAGACGTTCGCCTCTCTGATTGGGGCTTTTCCTGAATATTAAGTAGCCTAACACACAGTTCAGTCCTGAATCTTCTCCGTGTAAGTTCAGACTTCGCAAGTTTGATCAAGGCTGCAGTCTCTTCTTCTCAGTTTGATATGGAAAACAGACTTTACCGAGGACACGGGTAAATCTTCAAAGGGAACAGTGTACTTTATAACTTCATTCACATCACCCTGGCTTCGTTGTTTCACTTTGTCAACAATAAAATGTAAACATGATTTAAGGAACTGCCTATTTTCATTTTAATATTAGCAACTTAGACAGCAGACATGTTGAGGCGCCGTGCTGCATGAGCGTCATCTTCACTGTCTGGATATTTATAACAAAACGGAGCCGATAACAACTGCCTCCTTTCAATTTCAGTGAAAATACGAAACACACCCTCTCTTTTGCTGAGTATCAGTTTTAAGAATCGATAATGGCCATTTTAAAAGTATAACATACAATAAGTTTATACATTATAGGAAATAAAGGCAAGCGATAAGTCAATATACAGAATGTACGTGGTTACATTAATCATTAACTTATCTTTGCGCTCAGCCAAAACACGTTACCTGAGAACAAGTAATAGATTCCAATGCCCAAAGTCAGGGAATATGTCGTTAGATAAAGACAACAAGATGAATGAAATATCCCGTTTAATAAATATAGTGAGATTAGATCCAGCGGGAGATGCTTGATGAGAAGTCCGACTAGCAGAGCTCTCATCTGGGTACATGGGCTGCAGCGCTTGCCCGAGAGCGTCTGTGTGGTCACGTGATGTGCGTTTTCAGCGTTTTGGTGTGGACGGAGAGCAGTTCAGAAACGCTGGGTAAAACGCGAGTGTGGACGCGGATCGTTTTCATTCTAAAACGCCGTTTTAAAACTAAAACGTACTAGTGTAAACGGGGCCTCAGTCATGACTTGCCTTCATTTCACATACACAATTAAGTCTTTAAACACTATCTGGCCATCTTTACTGGCCAGCACACCTCAGTCACCTCAATGAACTATAGAAGACATTGTTTCCCACTGAAAAGGAGCAGCGTTGGTAATTTGAGATCTTTGTATTGCTTTGTTGCCATTTGTCAGTCATGTGAGACCATCCCCATGACGTTCTGTCTTCCCAAGCATCCTGTCTTTTCCTGATGTGAATGTGATACTGTGAGATTATGGAGATGTTAAATTGAAGAGTCAGCGGTAACATCTGTGAAGCCCATTCTGTCAGGCTCAAGACAGTGTGGGGGAAATGAGGAGACAGTTGGGTAAATGGAGAGTTCACCCAACAATTACATTTCCTTACTCACTTTCTAAGTATTTGTAGCTTTCTGTTCTCTTTTAAACACAAAGTAAGATATTTTAAATGTTGGGAAAAGAAGTAAATTGTTGATTTATTTCAACATTCTTTAGATATCTTCTTTTGTGTTCAACAGAAGAAGAAACTCAAACAGGTTTGGAATAAGCGGAGGATGAGAAAATGATGACATAATTTTCATGTTTGGGTGAACTGTCCCTTTAACAGATATTTCTCTCTGCAGATATGTAAGCTTGCTTCTGCCATGGAATAAAATATAAAAAAACACTTTATATCACAATTCTGATTTTATATCTCACTTTTCTGACGTTTTTTAAGCAAGTTTAAGGGCCTACTCACACTATGCCATTCGTAACATGCCCAGGCCCGTTTCCCGGATTGTTTGAGAAGTGTGAGTGCGCTGAATCAGGCTCAAGCACGGTTCACTTGGCCGGCCCTGGCCCGGTTGGAAGAGGTGTACCTGAGCTTGGGCTTTGAACTGAAAGCGAGACGTGACTTTTAAGGGGCTGTTTCATATGGATTTATTAATTATTCTTACTGTTCAGTGAACGCAAACTGCCGTAGTTTATTAAAGACGAGAACTCCTCACTGCATGACAGCTGCGCGGCTTCAGCAGACCTCCTCATTCCTGCAGCACGAGGGCTTTATAACTGTTTATGAGCGCCAAAAGTGGCGGATCTGTTCGGCGAAATATCTGA